CCTCACCCCAATGGGAGCCCTAAAAAAACTCATATCATATTTATTGTTTTTAAGGATTTAATTACATATCAAGTAAACTTAAAATATGATGGAGAGTTAAACTTAACAGTATGTTTGGGTTGATGGGAATAAAGGGGAGAGAAAGGGAAGAAAGTCCTTTGCTTTATTTTTTTTTTCTTATGATTTATTTACTTATCCAAACGAGGGAAGAGAGGGGAGAGGAGGGAAATGAAGTTGAATGAAAGGATAAAATTTTCCTCTTCTCTCTTTCCGTCAACTCAAACATACTGTTAAGTTTAATTATCCATCATATTTTAAGTCTACTTTATATGTAATTAAATAGTTAAAAACAATAAATATGATATGAGTTTTTTTAGAGCTCCCATTAGTTGTATGTAAATTAACCAACAATTAAAGAGATTAGACTAATTAAATACCACTACCAAAAGAACTCAAAATATACTATATAAAACAAAGTGAAGCAGACAAACTGTATCCTATTAAAGTAATTAATCAATCACATAGTATACATAACAGAAAGATATTATACTCTTTTATAACTCATTATCCATGAGCCAAAAAAAAATTCAAACTTTCTTAATTATGTTGCTATCAAATACTAAATCACAATATAAATATAAACCAATTCTAATACTATAAAGAAAACAATATTTTTTTTGCAATAAAATAAATATAAACCAATATTTCTCAATATTTTTTTAATAAAATAAAGATATAATAATTTATTAATAAAATTTTATAATTATCCCTAATTAAGTATCGCTTAAATAAATTTTCTTTTTTAATATATATTATAATTATCTTTTTAAAATAAAAGTAAAATAATAATTGCATTAAATGACATAAAAAAAAGGCGAACAACTACATATAAATCTTTTAAATTAAAAATTACAACAATTAAAGTTGAACAGAAAAAATGCTAAAAATAAAATATATCGTCATACATTAATTTTTTTCAAAAATCTTAGTGGCGGCCATGGCCCCTCGGCCCAAGTATCCTCCGTCCTTGGTCATAATTAGAGATAAATAAGAAAATTCCTTTCGGAAGAAATCTACTTAGAGTTAATTTATTGTTATAATGTCTATATAAACCCCCACTATCCATATTGACAAGGGACAAGGAAATCAATCTCATTGTACACAAGCTCTCCATAT